AGGCACTTCCAGCGCACCGTGGCCCGTTTTCGCTATCGTTATCGCCGATTCACGAGTCATCAACCGCAACACTCTAAAGCAGCAGCAGCCAGTTATCCGAGATTGTAGCCGCCAAGGTGCCATCCAGCTACCAGTTCGAGGCCAGGACGAGTGTGTGTGTGAGGTTTCGCCATCGAGGGCGAAACCATACCTGTGCGCGCGTGTTCGCGACCGGCGACAAACAATTAAAAACTGTTCTGCGTTGTGCGGTTTGTCTGTGCTTCCGTCGATCGCCTGCAATTATAAGGTAAGCTGGCCAGCTTAATTTCGCGATCGCGGTTGCATGATTGATTATTAATTTCCGACATCCGAAACGAGCGTGCGGCGACTCTAATAACAAAGAGCAGCGAGCGTCCCGGCAAAACGTATTGTCGATGAGCGAGCGTCAATGTAAACAAACGCCCGGGCCGACTTCGTGTAGTATTTGAGTGGTAATAAAAGGCTCCGTCCGTGTTATTAACTACTATTTTTCGACTCGCTCATTTCAAATAGCTTCCACTCACTTCCCTTGGCTTAGAGGACTTACTGGTTGACTGACGCACGTTCCTACATGCTCTCCGATTTATGTATTGAGCATAAATAATTACGCGCGTCCTTTTAGTATAATTGCGCGAATAAAATAATTAAACGGTTTTACCCAGTTACAGTATTTATATAATAAATAATTATTTTTTTAAATTTATTAATTGAAATTAATTTCAATATTTTTTTCAACAAGTATAATGAGACGGCTGTTTGACAACGTCAGCCCACAGAAAAGAAGCAATACATCGCCACTGCTCGCTCCCCTCAAGAAAAGGAAAATTTTATGTGAGCTGGACGAAACAACGGCGATGCTGTTCAAAGAAGAAGATTTATTATATATGTATAGATTACAGTTTGTAGTAATTTATATGTACCTAGGCGATTTATTTGATATCAATTAAAAAATCTCAATCAAAATGCAATGTAAAAAAAGTGGAATGAAAATGGCACTTGGAGAGCCATCTCTCGAGTCTTACACTTAGATATATGCCCATGATTTTCCTCCATGCCCCCGCACCAATTAGAGCCCTAAACCAAAGTTATGAAAAGTGCAAAGATCTTAATAGGCCAATTAAAAAGCTGTTGTCCATGCCGCTCTTCTCGATTTCAAGGGGTTCACAATAACATACAAAAAAAGAAAAATACTGATAAATACAGTAAGTTGAACTAGCCGCGCATTCCTTGAGTCATGTGCTGGCAAGTTATCGCCTCGCACAAGAACATAAAGGAATGCGTCGTACGCGTGTAACCGAACACCTCAACTAGCCGAATTCCACAACAAGAACACGCCACAGCTCGAACGACCCAACACGCCGCTACCCGACACCTCTGAACAAAGAAGCGTTGATCTACGCACTTTGCCCTTGTTCACAAAGAACGCGAACACTTTCACACTGCACACACTTAGCTAAATTTTACGGGCACCCTCAAAATCACTCTTTCTCATTTACCTTGCCCCTTTCCCCACAAGGGATGCCATGTAATAGAGTCGGCTTGCAACGCCGATGCACCTATCGCTATTACCAATTATTTGAAAGGGGGAGGGCAAGGGAGGCGGTATATCGCTCCTGACAAGGTAAAGAGAAAGGCGGGCGCTATAATCATTCCTCATATCTTAATAAATTCCTTTATTACATCATGCTACCCTGAGCATACAGTTCGGACATTCAAACACGCGTCTTATTATCTACACTACAATCTACGATCGCTAAAAGAGATGGCCGGCACGTTAGCGCCTTGCCATCTCGATACCGACTCGATATAATCTAACTTAGGCTAATAACCGAACCAGCCGCGCCGGCCCGTGAGAGCCTGGCGCAGCGCACAAGCCGTGAGTAGCCTTAGAGTGAGAATTAGAGAGAGAGAGAGAGAGATTAGAAATTGACCTGACGATTGACGATCTTCGATGCAGGGCCTCGCCGAAGATGGTGATGGCGTCCGATTGCAGGCAAATCTGTCCGTGGTCGGAAGACTCGACGAAAGATAGGCTGGGTCCGTAGCCGATACTGATGTCGTCTCGGTTTCCTCTAATCTTTTGCGGTTGACTGCAGGGGGTCAGCACACCTCTCTCTGCTAATGACCACCTTTCTACTGCTCTGACTGACTGATTCGAGTATACTTCCGAGTGCGTGAGAGACTGCTTCTCACGCTCTCCCCACTCTCTTGCCTAATCGGCGGCATGCGGCACCGTCAAGTGCGGCTAGTGTCACGCGCCTGCCTGCACTAATCGCGTTCTTTCTTTCTCTCTTATCTCTCTCTTTCTCCCCCACTCTCTCTCTTTCTCTCCTACAAGAGCGCATAGTAACAGGCGCTCTTGTCGACCAATGCCACTGCCTCTCTCTCTATCTTTCTCCTTCTTGCTCGTTGCGGTAGCGATGCTGAAAACATAAAGGCAGGCATCAGGCACGTGAATCATGTGCTATAGGTCTGCCATGAGTCCACGCCGATGGTAGGGAGAGATGGGGAACACACGGTGCAGGTCGAATCCACCGGAACCGTTACAAAACATTTAATTATATATATTTCTTCAGGTGCTCTGATGGACAACAAAAACCGATGCAGGAAGCGAATTGATCTCACCAAAGGCACATTAGCACAAAGAAGACGCCAGGCAAAAGCGAAGTTGGGGCCATCAGAAAGAAAGCAATAAATTAATGACCTTGCATACTGATACACAATTGATGGACATCCATGAGTATACTGAGGAACAGCGTCGATTTCAGGAGCTATCTCCTATGCTCCGCGAATCCCAATTACTCAGGATGTAGATCAAGGCAGGAACGAAGGCGTTTATTGATGACATCATAAAAAATAGAAGAAACTGGGTAAGTAACTATGTATTTATTTTTTTTAATCCTTCATTAGCATAAAAAGAAATTAATGAGAACACTTATTCCTAATTTCCGAACTCCCATTTCCTATCCTCGGTATACAGATACTTATCCGTAATTCCCTTCCCAATATAAGGAATAAAAATATTTAGACCTACTCGAACAGACTGAAGTAAAAGTATATTGCATCAAGAATGCCGAATAAATGTCGTCACAGCCATGCCGAGTAGTGAACTTGCCGAACGCCATTAGTACTGTTATTCCCGGATGTCGGTTTGGATAGCACCGCTCATACTCTCATCTGGGAATGGCAGTTTGAATAGCGTTCAGCAAGCTCACTACTCGGCATGGCTGTTACGACATTGAGCGTAATCTCGCTGCTCTGCTTCGCCTTTCTATCTGTTCACTCTCGGGCTATACTGTAAAACTGAATGCCGAATAAATGTCGTAACAGCCATGCCGAGTAGTGAGCTTGCCGAACGCTATTGGAACTGCCATTTCCAGATGTCGGTCTAGCGAGCACCGCTTATACTCACATCTGGGAATGGCAGTTTGAATAGCGTTCGGCAAGCTCTCTACTCGGCATGGCTGTTACGACATGAAGCGCAATCTCGCTGCTCTGCTTCTCCTTTCTATCAGCTTGCCGAACGCCGTTGAAAAAAATAATAATAAATTTCGTATTTTACAGCTGACACGTCAAGTCAGCAAAGTGGCTGAAACAATTGAACAGTTTCTATCCAGGAAAATCAGAGATGATCAGTTATTATTAGTATTTTACCAGTCCATGCAAACGTTCATGCGAACTGCTTCATTCACGTTGACGCACGAAAAGGCGGAGCAGCTTTTGAACAGACTGGTTGATATGAAATTAGCTGATTATATCAATCTTATTTTGGAGAAAGTTGATGAGGAAGATCTAGATGAAAAGGTGACCACAGAAATAGTGGCATTTCTGTTGATGCAAAAAGGCTGTTGCTTTTCTAAGACACTTAAGGATTTACTTACAGTGGTTCACAAACAGACAAAATATGCCCGAGAGGGCATACGATTTAATTGTGTGCAATCTTTCGAAACATCGAAACAGATGAAGCCACGAATGTGCAACACTAGTAAATTGTCTTCGATAGTAACAAAAAGATTCAATGAAATTTTAAAATCTAGAAAGTGGGCAGTAGCACTATTCATATACATTAATAATAGATCAGAAAGAAAGTGGTCCTCCTATAACAAATTGATTGAGACATTGAATGCACAGCAGAAAGTGCAGAACAGCTTCAAGACTAGTATACAAGACATGCAGATGAAGACCAAAAATCAATTGCTCAATCTCAACAGTAACCAGGTGTTACTTTTAAGATTGATTCGTCGATACCCTGACTTTGATTGGGATGAGGTATAGTAATTTATATTCATATTCATGATTTTGAAGATTTGTTAATAATTTCCATATTCTATTTTTACAGATATACGGTGAATACAAAAAGTACGACCCTAGCATCATAGCACTTGTTTTTCTAAAAGAGGCAGCAAGATCTTCTGACATTTGCACAATTTGCGGAAAAAGTCCAAAAATAAAATTCAATGTGTGGCCGACTGCTACCGTCCTCCAAAATAACAGGATATTTTTGACGTTCATTTTTTCGTCAAAAAAATTCCTGTTGGAATCCCTGAAGAAATATGATAGATTTGTGTACGAAGATAACCTAAACTATCATGGACTACAGCTTTATTCCATGAAATCCATCTGCAATTTGCCGTCGCGTCCTATTAATACCTTGGACAGACAGGAGTGGCCCGATGAAGAATGAAACTATTTCAAATTATGTTTTTGAATTAAAAGTCACAATAAATGTACTACAAAAAATGTACTAACAGCCATGCCGAGTAGTGAACTTACCGAACGCCATTAGAATTGCCATTTCCAGATGTCGGTCTGAAGAGCACCGCTCATACCCACATCTGGGAATGGCAGTTCTAATAGCGTTCGGCAAGCTCACTACTCGGCATGGCTGTTACGACCTTGTTTCGGCATTCATTTTTACACTATAGCTGAATTTGAATACGTCAAGCCGTGAACATTATCCGTATGCCTACTACTGGGAATATGAGTGTACAAAGTATGACGCGAGCTCAATATCCAGCTTGGTAGAACCACTATTTATTTTACACTATACAATAATTTTCATTTCCGTTTTTTGGTTGGTCCACCCCCTTCATCTGTCGGCTTCCTTGGTCTCTTCTTGTCTTTGCTAGACGCCTGTTCTCTCTCCATTTCAATTTTCTGTTGCAATACTTTTTCCAACTCCTCTTGAAGATTAATGACACTCCTACTGGCATAATCAGCCATCACTTGGCCGCTTCTCTGGCCGTTTGTCTTATCGATGGATCCTCGAAGCTTTTGATGTCTTTCGCCTGATCTTTAGCGTCATAAATTTGGATTGAATTGACAGAGACAATACGTTCTTGAAGGTCATCTGGAGTGATGATCTTTACATTATCATCCTCCAAATGTTGAATGAAGATCGCACCCCATAGCGGGTAGTTTTCGAAGAGAACAAGAGCTGCATCACCTCTCTTCCACAGCCTCTCGTGATCAGTTGTTCGTTTGGGAGGGGGTGGGGCACCTGTTTTCTTGGCGGGATTCTGCGCCAAAAATGAGAAGGCGGCGTTAATGGACGTGACGTGCAGCCTCGGGCGCAAGATATAATTATGCTGCCCTCGTCTGTAATGAATAATATTGATAAGGGTAAGTATAGTAGCGAAATCTAAGAATTCATAGTAGAACGAAAGTATTTGTATACGTAGGATAGGGTAAGATTGTTCCTGTAAAGAATTAAGTAAAGTCGTACGGATATCTAATGGGAGCAGCTATTCACTAGATTCCGAACTCACATTCCTGATCTCTGACATAGAGATACATAACCATATCGTAGTATGAAAGAGGAAATGGATGTCCGAGAGCTAGCCGATATCTATTCCCTATGATCTGCATAGCTGAACTATTAGACATTCAAGCCCGCTATTAGGTTTGAAAATACTGCCGTCAGCAGTCCATTCCCTAAATTATGAAGTCGCACTTTCAGCTACAAACTTTTACTTACGTCTGAACTCTAACCGATGGCCCAGGGAGATCGTCATCACCTGTGATCTTTTCCATCATAATGTTGGACGCTCCGGAACACGTAGGAGTCGGTTCTACTGCTATAGAATTAATCTCATCGATAGCCATCCTGTAAGCGGTTTCGTCCCGGGGTCCCACTCTTATTCCCAGCCTATGAGTGATATGGGGCTCCTCTATGACGCCCTCGACCTCGGCCTCAACCTGGGCTTCAACCTCGGCCTCGGCCTCAACCTGGGCTTCAACCTCGGCCCCGGCCTCAGCCTGCTCCGCTTGGGCATCAACATCAACAAGGAATTCCCTCCCAACCACTATCAGGTTTTAAAAGGGCGTGCGCGAGCACAAAAAGACAGAAAATATCGAATTTAGTGAGTGCAAACTATCATCTGTATCAGAAAATAAAGAAAGTAAATCGAAACAAATATATTTCTCTTTTGTTTTCTCTTCATTTCACTCTAGTTAGTTACGCATACTTTCCTCTACGTCTTCGAAGGGTACTTCAGCGTGGTCCAAAATACCTTTCAATAAGACAATCGTGGCGTTTTCTATTTTAAATTTTTTCTTTGTGAATATATCGGCTAGGCTTGATATATTCACATACAAAACCCTATTTCATTGAGTTATGGTATTCTTTGGAAGTCTTGTACTAGAATAAACTTTTTATTCCGATATCCGCATGAATAGTGGCTCTTATCTCTCTAATTACTCATCCTAGTTAAGGCATAACGAAAACCGAATAGAGCATTTGAGATAACGTTTGCTTCAGACGTTCCTGAGAAAGTGACTCGGACGTCACATTACTGTAGCATATAAACAAATTATTTTAATATAAATATTAATTTTAATTATTCAGGTTTATTTTGTATTTTTAATACAAAATACCGTTTATAAAATAAGATTTTTTCCTCTTAATTTGATATTTTTTCTTTTTATTTCGATAACCTGCGGTTTATACAATCGTAAAATTTTGTATCAATTTTTTTTTTCAGTGTTCATCCGTGAGTTTTTTAAATTAAACTTTTCTCTCTTCCTAACGCGTTACAACTAACCAGCAGTACAGAGGCAAATCAAAATGCATAAACGCTTATAATTCAAAGAAACATCAATCTATTTCCTATATATTTTAATGTTAATAATCTGTATGAATGAGCAATGACCTGAGCACTTCCTTAGCGACAATAATAATTTTTAGATAACATTTTTTGTTATTTCTATAGAAAAATGTAATATGGTCAATAAATAGAATAAGAATCATTATTTCATTTTAGTAATAAAAAGGTTTCTTAATAAAGAAGAACACTAATGTATAACGTATAAACAATACAAAAATGGAAACAAATACTAGACACTCCACAAAATAAACACAATTAAATAATTACTTTAAAATTAATTAAATAAGTTGAGTTAAAAAACGAACCATCGGAATAACACATCTTTTTACGAATCTTTATTTTCTCTGTATCAGTAAGTGCACCGTATGTTGTAGCCTGGCCATGTATATAGCAAAATTCAACAACAAGACCTCAGAGCGGAGCAAATTATTGGAAAGGTAGATAAGGAAAATTTTTTTTAATTGTAATTGACTAGATTACGTAAACTGAAAATAACGTTTAACACATTTTAGCTTATTTTTTACTTACTTATTAAAAATAACAAATTTGCAATGGAAACCTCTTTTTAATCGATCAAATAAATTAGCTTTGAATTTGAAACTACTTTTTTCCCTTTATTTTTTTTCCGGGGATAAAGAGTATAATATAAATTATAGCTCAAAATTCTCCGCGCATTAGATGTCTCAGTTAGCATAAATCACGAAAAACAAATAAAGTTGCTTCGCATATTGTAAATAATTAGAGTTTTAATTGAATTGAAATAAGTTCGCCCTTCCTATCAGCCTTGCATGCAAGAGAAAAAGCCGTGTAACACTTGGGAACACGCCAAGTGCTCCTAAGATACCGTTATGACATTTATCGCGCACCCCTCGGTGCAAAGATAATCAGCTCAGCCTCAGCCAGCTGGCTACATTAACTTATATAGGTTAATTTTTAGTTTATGCCACAGGTCTCAATCCTCGCTTCATCTCACATGCCGGAGCAAGCTCTTCTATTCATGCTGTGAGCCTCATGATAGCTCTCTCTTTCTCCCTTGAGCCTCACGATAGCTCTCATTCACTCATTTTCATGCAAAACTCTGGCTACTCGATGACCCCTTTCATACATACGGCAATATTGAGAGCGAGAATTGGTGAGTGTAACATTTAACATTTTCCTTGAATTGGAACCTTAATATTGTCAGCCGGTTCAAAGGATTTACAGCAAAATCTATCTTGACTTAGCAAGTCTGAGTGGAGAGGGAGTAAGGATGTCTAAAACAGTTAACAATTTCAAACATCTGAAATTTAAAGAGATAAATTCAAGTAAATTAAAATAATCTGATAAATAAAAAAAAAGAAGTAGCATTCAAACAACATTATCAATCGACATAATACAATAATCCGTGGTAATATCTAACCGTTTTAAAACTTTAACATAACTACGTAAAACATTACAGAATTAAGAAAAAGTTAGCAATATGTTACCATTACCATGTTAGGTCTTCGTACAGCACTTTTTTGAAGAATAAAAATAAATGTCTTTCTTAAAGATGAAAATATTGATGAAATAACGTTTTTATATAAAATAATATTTTTTAATGTGAACCAACAAACGCTCTCTTTTAAATAAGTTAATCTAATATATCTCTCTATGCTCTCTAAAGAGCATGGAATTACTGTATTTGCGTTGGATTTTATCGACTGTTTCAATACATGGTTTCCACGTATGAAATTACTATTTTTAAACTACCTTACAAAAATGATAAACGATATTTTCAGAAATGGACAGTATTGATTAGCAGGGTGACATGGAGCATATTTTCGAAACCTTTTCTTTGTTATTCTATTATTCTTTCTGCTTTTCTATTATTAAAAGTTATTAAAAGTACGTATTGAAATTACAAAGTGTCAATTTTTAGTGATAAAGCCTTTTAATTACTAATTACGACTTTTGTATAGTGGATTAGTTCTTATCTTACATCTCGATCGTAAATATTTTCACTGAAAACCCGAAGCGTCTTTAATATATATATGATTAGAAAAGTATATAAGGTATTATTACAGTTTTATCAGTTTTGACTTTGCTTCGGTTCATTGATTTTCGTGCGATGATCACACGCTTAAAATCTATAGTCAATTCTGAATTTATTAAACAAAAAATGCATAAAATATGCTCAGGTGCTCACAAAGTGCCTGTAGATACGCGGCTTTTCAATCATATTTTCCTAATGATAGAAGAGAAACTGTCATGCTAGTATTGTAAAAAGTTTGTAGATGATGAAATGGCATTTTAAGCAAATCTATTTAGTATATGTATGTCATAAATTTTAAAAATTAATACATCTAGTTTGCTAAAGTTTATAATTTGTTTATATCAAAATGACTTTGTAAACACAATTTTTACTATATCTGACTGGATATAATCGTGCTATAATTATATAGAATATCTCGTTAAAATTCTAAAATTTGAATAAAGTTATGCAACAATAATTTATTTTTATTCTAGTCATCGTTTTATTTTCAATGCAAAATTTTTCATGCGCTAAAGGTCGTCAAGGCCAAGAGTTTCTCAAAGTTGCACACGTTGTTCAAAGTTCTTTGATACTTGGCAACGGGAAGAGGTAACACGCAATTAGAAAGATAATTTAATTTAATTTAAAATGATTTTTTTTGAATAGCACCTATGAACTGGTAGCTGTGACGGTGGACGCCTTTAATTTCTTTTTCCAATTTTTATCAATTTTTCATAAATTTCAAACTAGTATTGTGTAACCTTTCCAAGCCTACTAGTGCACGTGCGGGAAAATAACAACTCTAATTGCCGTTTTATTCTTTCTTCTTTTCTTCTTTTCCAAGGCGTGTAATGTGGCACATTACAAGGCCTCTCCTGAGTGCTGCATTGTTTGCAATACCTCAGAAAGGCCATCCCCGTCCCTTGCCACCCCGTAACCGGTTGTTTAAAATAAAGCTAAACACGCCCTACACCGAACAATTATTATTTTCCATGTCCGAACGACCACGCCGGAGATATGGGCGAAATAAACTTGCCCAACGCGATCCGACGGATGCTCAAAGAGCAGACAAAAAAAAAGGAGCGCACCACAGAAAAAGAGAGCGCACGCACACACTCACTCACAGACACTCCCGACCACGTGTTGCCGGCCGGCAAAAGAAAAATGCAAAACCTGACTGGGAAATGCAACGGAGATGCATGTTGATGACATGCAGATCCGTTACACTCCCAGACACTAACACGAACACTCACAAGGCACTGACACTCCTGGGGCGAGCAGAAAATCGCCGATGAAGTGGCAGCCGGCAATCAGCTGTGTCGGGCTGCCGAACATCATCGGCGACATCCTGAGCGCCACACACACGAAAATCAGCGACCACACACACAAACACCCGGAACAACACCACAGAACCGACACGGGAGCGCCCCAGGAGGCGCTCCAACAACCGGCGCAAGGACACGAGGCGTACGCGCGAGAAACTGAGCGGCCATCTTGAAGCGCCGATATAGACTGAGAGCGAGCGAGACAGAGCGAGCGAAGCAGACTAAACAAGAGCGAGCGAGACAGACTGAGACAGAGCGAGCGAGACAGAGCGAGCGAAATAGACGAAACAAGAGCGAGCGAGACAGACAATATAAAATAATAGAATAATATGTAAATGCGAAGATGAGGGCGCTACAAATGAAACGGCGTATATTATATACGTATTTCTGAGATTAAAATTAAATTATAAATTGAAAATGATGAACACGAAACAAATATAGAATTGTAAAATTCGCACGCGACCGACACCCCTATTATGATGGCGAGCGACAACTACCCCCTTTAGGTTTAAATGATAATTTAACTAACCGAATTCGAACATCTGACAAAATTCGCTAGTGACGTCACGACCAATAGGCAAATTAGAATAAAATTTGATTTCCGTCCGCATAGACGAATAGATAAGAGTAGGGGTAGATCTTTTCCGACAATTAATGATAGATACCTTAGTGGGGGTGAGAGAGAGTAAATAACGGCGAAAGTAGGAGAGTTAAGGAGGGCGCTGTATTATTCTAATTTACATACGGACCAATGATAAAAATTCGGAGGGCGCTACCGATATCCGAATTAGCATACCGACCAATAATAACATTTCTTCTCGGAAAGAGGAGAAGAGAAACGATCTTTGACCGCGAGAAGCCGATTCTCGTCCATTTTTGCCACTGGATATCCGCAAGGAAGGAGCCTCTCTCTATCAGCTAATCTCGCTATCGATTTATTAGCGCTAGACGCCCCAGATTTGTGTCAATTTCATCTGCTAATACTGCAAGAAGAAATTTGTAAGTAGGCAAAGTGCCACTCATATTTTTTTTAACTAATCGCGGAGTGCGGGGATCAATTGTTCAGTGCCGTAGGTCGTCGCGACGCGTGGATCCGTCGACGCCGGTGCCTATCGGATCGTGCTGACCTGTCCGTCATTCCGTGAAAATAAATTGAGTGTTCGGTTTACGAAGGAGAATTGCAATTTAGGATTCGCGCTGACCTTCGTTTGCCAGTTATTGAGTGTAGAGTTTATGAAACAAATTTGCGACTTAGTATTCGCGCTGACCTTTCGCCAACTTTTATTAAGTGTTCGTCTTACCAA